ATGTCATTGCAGCTACTGTATATGCTAAAAAAAAGCATAACAGATATAAAATACCTCATAAGTAATAGAATTCCACAAAAATCTGCAACACCTTGTTGAAATGAAACACTCATAAATATCTAGGATCTGGGACAGTTTACCGGTGTTTAAGTGAAATAAATATACAATGTCTTAAAGAGCACAAAGTATCATCACAGGATTAAGACAAATCCTTGAATCAAAAGTTAGTAAACCTCTTATAATACAGGGCAAACATGTTGTGAAATATCATTACGAAAAACTATACCATTTAAAGAGCAATTGATAACTGCTGAAACCAAAACATAAATGCTACTATACGAGCGGTGAGCTTCTCATTTTACAAAAGTAACAAAATCTGTAAAGTATGGAACCCATATTCATCAGTGGCAAAGATAGAAATAATACTAAAAAAATAAAATGCATTACCCACTCCTCAGAAAACCTAATTCCAGAAAAAAGGAAGTGAGTTCAAGGAAGCGAGATTAAACCCATCGAAGAATAAGTTGCATTATAATAAAAATACAGCGTAGCTTATGAATACTATTAATGCTATATGCAAGAACAAAACCACAAAATTATACACAAAGAAAAAGCAAACCCACCTTTTCAATAGACATCCTGACTTGAGGATTAGGAGTTCTCTCAAAGACAAGGCAGGGCAGAGCGCTATAGCCCAGTAAACTCAGCCTGTTGTCGTCAATTCCCCCATGCGGGTTCCTTATCCCCAAGTGTGTGGCTTGATAACAAGAAACTAAAGTATTTTAGGATTCTGGGTGTGTTTAAGAGAGAAACCATGCATGTGTATGGCACAGGGGCTTCCTAGGCTGCACATCCACCCGCTCCACAACTGTGCTAATCAGCAGCGCTTCAGCGCTGGAGCTAGAGTGTGATAGTGCTGGAAACAGACAGTACCACTGCTAGCATTCAGTGGAGGGGGGATGATCTCACAGTGCAAGAACACCAGCTCCCCAAACACAGCCTTTTTCAATTCAGAATGCCAGACAGTGAAGTTTTTCTTAAACATCAACCCTTATTTTCATAGCTTACAAAAAATAATAGTTTCAAACCATTTTCCTCCCCCATTTGCCATAGTTTATGTGTACATATCCAGAGGAAACTACTATATTTTTATTGTTTTAATTATGTAATGACACAAAACACTGCCCTGTTGTACTAAACTCATCATCTGGAAGTTTTCCTGAAAAGATTCCTAATCAAGGCAGCCTGCAACAGACTCCCACTGTGTTTCACAAGTGGTTAAAGGAGACCATTGACATCTTCTGTTTGCAAGGCTTTATGCAAATGGTGTGTGCTGAGTTTTTCAGAAACAGCAGTGTTTGTAAAGCACAAACTAAAGCATGCATACATAAAGCTAAAAGAATATACATAAACTTTCATTTAATGATGGATAGAACTGTTAATGATGGTCTTAGCTAAATTCCACTGTGGATTTGCTCAATGTGATTTGCTGCATTTTTCCTTTTAATACAAGTGGTGAAGCAATTTCTGACCTGCTGTGTAGGAGGCCCACTGCCAAGCACTATGCAGGTAAGTGCCGTAGTTTAGTGGTGGAGTGAGTCCTGTACTACTGTATGCATAAGGAACTTTGGGATGCTTAGGGATAAAATGCACTTTGGAAATGTAAACAATTAGATAATAATAATGAACACATACAGTATGGGGTATTGTCACGCCCGACATCCCTCCCTAGAGGGCGCTCCACTGCTCTCATTATTGTTCGTGTCATTTAGCTCTCCAGGTGTACCCTTTTAGTGTTATTATTTAAAGACCAGCTCCTCCAGTCCTCGGGGCTCATCATTAGGGTAAGATGTCGCGAGGCTCGCCTAGCACCAGGAAACCCTACATCCGTCTCCTGAGGGCATAGGCCTCATCCCCGACACCTCCCGTTTCCTGAGCCCGGGGTCTGGAGGATCTCGCCCCGTCACCCTTGGACCTCCATGTTTCGTTTGTCCGTGTGCTCCCCCTCCCGGGGATTTTAATTTTGTCGCGTCCCAGGGTGGATTTCCAGTTGATGGACTTTCGGACCGTGCTTTGACCTGCCCTTGGACCCGTTTGGATTTGGATGCCGTTTTGTCTTCCCCGTACACTGTCTCACGGACTGTCACTATTATTTTGTGCACTATTAAACCCCTGTGTGTTCCTTTTTACCACGCCTCCTGTTTTCTCCAGCTCTTACCGCATCGCATAGGGTCTTCTACAAGATCTGACACGGATTCCAGTCTGTGTCCGTTACAGGTATAGCTTACTGGCCACTTCATTCATAAGGGCCTTTTATATTGCAAGATTTTATTCTAGAGGTGTAATGTTACAAGGATGCTAAAAATATAACATTTATTAAAGTACAATTAGGACATTACCATAATGAGAGTCAGTGAGAACAGATTGAGTTCAAATTGCAGAGACAGGGTGAAGTGTCTGGCACATTTATGGAGCAAAGAACACATAGCATGTGAAAGCTGACAGCACAATTCGTTTAAGGAAACAATTATAGCTTTACCACACAGTGCTCCTTAACTTCTTTAAAAAAGATGAACTGTAAGGCTTTTTTAAAAACTGTTGCGAAACTTACAAAAGTAAGAACTTCATCAGTATGTTAAAAGGTTGCTTGATACAGGAATGAACAAGTTAAAGGCTTGTTCAAGGCTCTGAATTATTTTAGATACTGCAAAGGAACAGTTAAAGGTTTATTCCATGCTGAAAAGAGATATTTCAGCTGTGAAGCCTTCTTCAGGTGTGAAAATGAAACTATTTTTTTTCACCATGGAATAAACCTTAACCTGTTCCTTTGCAGCCTATGCATGCTGACACAGTTACCTACTTGAACTTGTTCATTTTAGATACTTGCAGGAAAACAAGTTATCTAATAACTAACTCAATTAAATTTTACTCTCACTAAGTAGAAATGTGCCAAAAGTGAAGTTGGTGTCATGATGGTACTGTAGGTAGATGATAGTTCCGATTTTAGTAGAAGAGTACTTAATAAAGAGTATTAGGAACATGACCTGTGTAAATTTCAGCTCATCCAAAGATGTGAACATGTTTAATCCTCTAGCATAAAGGTCACAGGAGTGAAGAGCGGAAGTTAACATCTGTTTCTGGATTTATTTTAATTCTTTATTCATGCTATGCATTGCAACCATCACCATACAGCTGTCTTCGCACATTTCTTGATTTAAATAACGGCTGAGTCAGTAGCATGAAATTAAATTCTTCTGTTCTGACGAGAAGGCATTTAGTACCTGCGGAACCAAATATTGACCTAGATTAAAGTGTTCAGGAAAAATTGTTTAAAAAATGTATGAAATTAAATTATTTGTGGAGAAATGACAATACAGTTTATATAAATTGTCATAACAGTTTAAATAACAGGATTAAATAACTTATTTAACCGTTTACAGTGTAAACAGTTCATTTGCTACATATTGTGGCTCAAAGGTTCACCATTTCATTTTCATTCTTAGCGTTTCAAGATTTGATCATATTGTAACAATTAATTTATCAGAATTAAGACCACTTATCGTCTCTAAAGATACTGTATGCTGCATTCATGAATTGTGTATTGTAGTCTGTATTTTTTTAAAAATGAATAGGTCTCTATATCATTTTAAAATAATATTTATATCAGAATGAAAACTTCATCCAATTCAGGAATGTAGGGGAGCCAGAGCCTATCCCGGCAAGCAACAGGCATAAGACAGGATACACTGTTGATGGGACACAAGTCTATTGCAGGCCATGCTTAGAATATTATAGAAGTAAAATACTGAATACCATAATATGACAGTAAATGAGAAACATTAAATATTTCAAACTGCTTCATAATATATGGTATTCTAAAGTGTAGTACTGCAAATACTCAGTTTGTCCCTATAGAACTAACCTACCAACATCACAGACCGTTAGGAATGACTTGCTAGTGATGCAAAACCTTGTAGAAATATGCTTTTACTCTACCACTATTCAGAAACCACACGGCAGAAATAAAAGGCAGTACACAATAATAAACTGCCTGTTCTGGAAAAATAAATATCCAGAACATTTTGCACTAGCACAATTTTTTTGCTCTGTTTACTATGTGTAACATTATAAAAGTTTTTCACTGAAATATAGATTTCTCAAAATGTTTGGAGTTTCAATGATAAATTTAGCTAAACCATGTATTCTGATGATACGGTCGTTAACAAGACAGGGGTACATATTAAAAAGGGGTTTAAAAACTAGAACAGCCACATTCAAGCTGTCATTTGAGAAGCCCCAGACAGCTAGAGCCCTCTATTCAGCCTGATGTCTACTTTGTGGTTTATCACATCACAGCCAGGGCCCATAGCCTGGAGTAATTGAATAAGTGTGCCCTTCCTGTCCCTGCTAAAGCACCTTGAAAAAACCTTCCTTTCTCATCCAGCTGCTGCTCCATCTGACAGGTAGCTTTATTACTTTATTCAACCTGAATTTCAACCTTTAATTCAGGGAGTCCCCACAGACAGAAAGAGCAGCAGGTTAAGCTCAGACCCCATACAATACAAAGTTAAAGTGGATGTGATTTACCTAATATCATGAAATGATTACTTTTTGCAGAGTTTCTGTGTAGATGCAGGTGTATGACTAGGTGTATATTTGACATGCAAAATCACAAAATTGACTAGTGAATGCTATGAGTTTGAAAATATTGATGATGAATTATTAGAATTATGAGTGTTGCTTTTGTTTAAGACAAAAGGTGTCTCCTCTTTAAGTGGCATGGTGGTGCAGTGGATAGCATTGCTGTCTCGCAGCACTATGGCCCTTGGTTCAATTCTGAACTCTGCAGAGTTTCTGCATCATGGGTTTCATGGGTTTCCGGGTTCTTTCATTTCCTCCTCAAGTCCAAAGACATACTGGTTAACTGGATTAATCGGCTTCTGGGAAAACTGGCCCTAGTGTGAGTGTGTGTCTGGTGTACCATCCACGGTGTTGCCTGCCTTGGACCCGCTGCTTTCTGAAACAAGCTCTGGCTGCTCCACGACCTGTCACAAAGCAGTCAGGAGATAGATGGATGTGATGCATCAATGCTAACCACTGCAACACCGTGCAACCCATATGTGTGCTTTGCAATTGATATACTTTAAGAGCTGCACTAAAAATGTACATAGCATCTGAATTTTTTTTAACAGTACTTTGGATTCTAAGACAGACTGCTTACTGTACTGTAAGCAGATGCAGCACACAGAAACACCTAGTGAAAGCCTTCATCTTTATTCTGATGATTCTGAGCAATGCCTTTTTGGAATGCCATGCTTCTCACTTTTTAAAACTTTTTTAACAAGATTTGTTTTCATCCAAAGATAAATATTTTTATAGTGTGGCTCATCCCCAAGAACAAGAGTTATTGCTAGTTAAAGCAAACAAGAACACTATGAAAGTCACTTATATACTGTATTTAACACCTCGGCCCATGTGTTTCTTCACAATGTTTTTTGTGTTGACCTTGTTGCAACAAAATGGTTCAACCTGTTGAACCTGTACAAGTAATGCATTCATGCACTGCAATACATTAAATTCTGCCAGCCCTGCCTCATTAGTATCTAAATTCATAAGTTTTCCTTTGGAAGATACTGTTTTGATCTGAAGACATTATTACTGAAAAAATAGTAACAACAGTAACAAATACTTCTTACAGTTGAAAACATTTTAATATCAGGAAGGTTTTCACTGAAATAACCCCCTAGTATTATGTTTAGTTGCATAACTGCATCGGGATCTGTAGCTAATGCATTATGCAGTACTGTACAGCCCTGAAGGTTTATGTGCATGTTTTACAGCAGTCCATCAATACCACAGCAATTCCACAATAAAATGCATTTGGTTTGATAGTGAGTTATAAATGAGTTATATAATTATAAATTATGAGCATTTCATAAATTATGTAAGTACTGTATATCTCCTAATGCACTAACACAGTCAATTAAGTTGGTTTCTTTGTGAAAGTGGAAAAGATTAGATTTCATTCCACGTGAACATTTACAGAGAAGTAACAGGTTCTCTACTTGTATCACTGTGGTATCTTACCTGCTTCTCGAGCTTCTGCTGTCGGAGGCTGGTGTTTTCATCATCCAGGACACTGAAAGGAAGAAGTTTAGCTTTCAATTTAACAATCAAAGGAACTCTGGATGTCTTCTGAGAAGTCTGAAAATCTGACAGAAGGGTTTTGGTAGGTGTCATATTTACAACCGCCTTAATATGTACACTTAAATCATATTAATTACTGCCAGCGATTAAAAATGAGTCCACAGATCACTAGCAGAACACTACATGTTACTGAATTGGTAACTTGTGGACTTTCCTACAACAACATATAAAACAGTTGAGCAACTCATCAGTTATATTATAGCTACATGCCAAGATATTTTATCACTTGTGTGCTTGCAAAATCCAATAGCTTGTTACAATCACCAACTGTGCTATATAGTTGCTTTCTGTAAATAAGAGTTGCCAACAAAACAACATGCATTAATGGAGATATCCTTAGAAGTGTTGTTGAGTGCAAGTATCTAAAAATGCCTTGTATTTCTAGAGAGATTTCTCAGTCTTGTCCCACTGTTTTGTTTTTTATATTGACAAACAAATGTTTGTTAATGCTTTTTTAAAACCTCTGTACTGTGTTTGCTCAAGACCTTAAGACATTATATATTAATTATCTGTTATTACTATATAATAATACAATATATATATATTACATAAGCATTTATTAAATATATTATATGCAATTGGGGTCTTTTCATCTCCTGTGTGCCTTTGACTTAATTTAGTTTCCACTGGATGGTGGCCAGTAGTTTCTGTATTGGTAATTATTACAGTAACAAATACCTAGAAGTAAAGCCTTATCATACAACTAACAATATACATTCTATTTTTTTCAACTATTCAATACGAAAAGCCAAACTGAAAAATATAGATTTTTAAACAAATGTTTAATTTGAGTATTCATGTATTATATCAAAATTGACTGAAACTGTAGTATTGATCAATACTAATATTGATTTGTTGATTAACTCCTGAGGATTATTTTTGCTATTATTGTAACACTTTTACATCCTGCAAAACTTAGTCTTAAATAGTCTGTACTTCTTTTATACTATTCTCTTTATTTTATCCATTTGTTTGAGAATATTTATATGGGATGACTAAATGATCAAGTACTCCACTATTTATTAACCAATTAGGGTTGGACACTTACAGAAGAGATAGGCAATAATTAGCCAGCCACCCCTACCTGAATGTGTATTTAATGCCTGGTGCTTGCTCTTATTCTTTAAGTGGTTTATGGAGCTCCCATGAAGCTTCTCATGTGCATACCAAGAGTAAAGGTAGAAGATTCACCTCTCTACTGTCTCTAGAATGATTCATCCTTGGGTCTGTCCTGACTGCTTACCTCTTATCCTGACACATTTAATGTAACATCTTGTAAACATTATTCAAATACTATGAATAGTTTACTCTAAAAATTGAGTCCTACATTTCCCGTGTTAAAAATTAGTATTTTTGCTTTTGGAATTAAAAAGTGAAAAAATTATATAAAAATATCATTTAAAAAAACATAGCTCTTTGTATGAAAGGACTGTAAAGTCTACAACAATAAGTTAAAATTATAATATTGACGCCCATCTTTTGCCCCTTGAATCTCTGATCCAAAATTAAATAGAAATATCTAGTACTATAAATAAAATTTTCATCAGCTAATTTTTACATTGCATGCCCAATAAACATGAAACTATTTCTTTGTTTCTACCACCAGGTGGCACACACTTGCTTTACTTTGTCACAAGTTCCCAGTAAGACTGAAGTACCACTATCAAGCCTACGTCTACTAAATCTTTGTAGTGCTTAAATAAAAAAGCTACTGCATAATCGAGGCATGAGAGTAATTACTCACAATAAAATGGATAATTAACAAATAGATATTTTGGTATGAGTCTGTTAGAGTTACGCCAGCAGCTATATCACCCTGCAACTCACAACTGGCAATCCACTGAACTAAGCAGGTGTTAGCCTGGTCAGTATCTGGATAGGAGACCTCCTGGGAAAAACTAAGGTTGCTGCTGGGAGAGGTGTTAGTGGAGCCAGCAGGGGGCGCTCACCCTG